AAGAGAGAAGTGGTGGTAAGAGTGTGAGGATGGCTGACCCCTGAATCGGAATAAACATCAATCTGTATAAAACCCATTTGGGTTTTCTTGGAGAAAGCAGCAGGGCAAACAAAACTCTTGGACCGATGCCTAGAAAGTACGGGACAAGCAGAATGTGGATGAGCGATCAGTCTCAAACTGGACACATAGTGTTGTATCCCCATTCACGCAAGGTCTTCCACATGTGCAACGGAACTTCTCCTCCCTCTCCTGCTGCATTCCCCCCATCTGTTCTAGGGATTCCCCCAACTCTCTGGAGGGATGAAGGGGCGCATGTGTGTGTGTGGGGGGGACAACTGATATAACCCATTGCAGCAGTTTGGAATGAATAATCTCCATCTAGAGCAGAAATGGAAAACCAGTGCCCCTCCAGATGTTGGGGGATGCCAACTCACATCAGTTCCAGCCAGCATAACCAATGGTCAGAGATGATACAAGTTGTAGTGCAGCAACACCTGGAAGGCTACAGGTTGCCCAACCCTAATGTAGAGCCTGACAGAGGAAGTTTGATTCTGTTAGAGCTTTTGGATCTCTCAGCATCTTTTGACACAACTGATCATCAAAACTTTGTGAGCTGGCTGAAGAAGTTGGGTGTACGAGACATAATTGTTTAGTGGTTCCATTTCTAGACCAGAATTCCATGTCTGCATCAGGACCAGTAGCAGAAGGTAAAATCGGATGAGTACTGCTCTGCCTCATATAAATGGAATGAACAATAATTTGGAGATATAGATACAGATGTTAGAATTCCTGCTCCATGATTGCAGTCATGGGAATTTTGTCTATGACAGTTTATATTTTGACTCCACAGAGTGGGAAGTGACAGAGACAGGATGTTTGTGTTACTGTGTTCCGTGAAGTGGGACTATTGTCCTTTGCTCTTTCTCTTTGCTGTCTGGCGCTAGAGAGAGAGGGAGCCATGTTGCAGTGCTCCGTGTGTGTTTATATGTAAATAAAGTAGATTAGCCAAAATGCTGAGTTGCTGAGGTCTGTTACGCAAACTGTGAACACTCTGCAGATCCCTAAGTGTGCCAATGTCTGTTGGCATCAGTCACTGTGATGTTTGGGCTGAAGAAAGCTTTTGAAACTCCCAAACAGAAGACCAGGAGAGAGAGAACATGCCAGTCGGGCATGTGTCTCTCTGCCAGGGTCCTACTCGAGAGTAGGACGAGCTCCTGACAATAGATATGTCAGGTTATGTATCCACAGCAGTAACCAGAGGAGGAATGACCGCTGGGGGAAGTGCAGAAAGAAGAAATGCCATGGTACACCTGCAGCAGCTGTAAGGGATGCGGGTGGCGCTGTGGGTTAAACCACAGAGCCTAGGACTTGCCGATTAGAAGGTCCGCAGTTTGAATCCCCGCAACGGGGTGAGCTCCCGTTGCTCGGTCCCTGCTCCTGCCAACCTAGCAGTTTGAAAGCACGTCAAAGTGCAAGTAGATGAATAGGTACCGCTCCGGCGGGAAGGTAAACGGTGTTTCCGTGTGCTGCTCTGGTTCACCGTGCTGGCCACATGACCCGGAAGCTGTCTGTGGACAAACACCGGCTCCCTTGGCCAATAAAGCGAGATGAGCGCCGCAACCCCAGAGTCGGTCACGACTGGATCTAATGGTCAGGGGTCCCTTTACCTTTACCTTTTTACCTGCAGCAGCACAACTGGATGCCTTCATCTGCTCCAGCTGCAACAAATCATGTCTCTCCCATATTGGTTTCTATGGCGGCAGCAGGCACTGTAACTCTCCAACGGTTTGACTTCACCCTCAAAGGCACACTCTTCTGAGACAGACAGATGCCAACCTTATAGATACATATGAATTGAAGTAGCTTTGGAGGAAGCCTAAATCCTGAGCCGAAGCAGAGTGCTTTGGAGCAAATTGGGACTTGTCTGAGATGAAGTGGACTCAGTACAAGGCACCCCAACTCAAACCAGGAATCTCTGCTAAGCACCTTGCAGTGTTTGAATGAATCAGATGCCCCTACAGACAAGTGTCTGCTAAAAGTGGAACTCAATTCTCTAACCTTACCTTATAAGGAAAACAACAGAATAGAGGAAAAAGGGGGAGATGGGGCAAAAAGGAGATTGTAGGGGAGATTGTGACTGTCAGGTCAAGCTTGTAATCAGGAGAGATGATTTTACCCAGACACTCCAATCCCAGTATTTTCAGAAAGGAAAACCAATAGATTTTAGTTTCGCCTCTCTCTGAAAAACAACTATAATGGTAGTCAGCGCTAAGACTGCTGGACCCATTTGTTTGCAGTTGTCAGGTTTCTTATCTAGGGGCACCTCTCGCATGCCTTCTGTATTCCAACCAACTGGTTGTTGTTGTTGTTTTTTTAAAAAAACCAAACATTAAAGGTGTCATTGGACATGCCTGAAAATTTGAACTAATTCTGCCAAAATTAAAGTTATAGAAGGCACACACACATGCACACACACTTTTAAAGACACCTAGCACAGCACACACCCCGACCTATTTGTCTGTAATTTGGCATGTTTCTTTCCTCAAGGCACCTCTCCTATGTCTGGTATTTGCAGACCAATTGCCCACAGATCACTTGGGGAGATTAAGTGAATCCTTTTTATCCACTCCAAGGCTACAAAGGCTGCCCTTAAAGGAAAGCACCGCCACTATCCTTCTGAAATTTGGCAGGATTTATTCCCTTAGGAAGGGCTACCATGTCTGCAAATTGTATCCCATTTCAGTGTGTGTGTGTGTGTGTGTGTGTGTGTGTGTGTGTGTGGCAGGCACCACAACCAGTTTCTGCAAAATGGTTTTGTTTCTAGGGAAGAGGGGTGAGAATGTGAACTCCAAAAAATGCCTCCTGAGAAATTTCAACTTGCACTGCCTCTAAAGTGTCAGAATTGCAGTCTTGGTTGGTATCCTGCTCTGCTGCTAGATACACTAGTAGCAAAAGGAGCCAGGATGGCCGATTGCCACCTTTGATTTGTATTATGATCCTCTCAGATCACGAGCTGGCATCCATTCTGCATGCATTGATAATCTCCTGTGGATTGCTGTAATGCACTTTACACGGGGCTGCCTTTAGAGACGGCTAGGAATGCTTTGATTATTGCAGAAACCAGCTGCTCTTTTACGGAAGAGAAATCATAGTCCTGCTAAGATTGGCTGCCTGTTTGCTTCTAGGGCCAATTCAAGTGTTAGGGCTACCATTAAAGACTCAGATGGCCTGGTTCCTGCCTATCTTCAAGAGTTCCTCTTCCCATATGTGCCTTCATGGTCTTTCAAATCTACCCAAGACGTCTTGCTCTGTTTTCTATCATTATACCAAAGAGCACAAAACGAGGCCTTCACTGTAGCAATGACCCTTGTGTGGAACTCCCTAAAAATCCAACTGTTACCATTATAGAACTGCTCTGGAGGGCAGGGCCTGAACCAATGGCTTCAAGATACAGGAAAGGAGATTCCGACTAAACATCAGGAAGAACTTTCTGACAATAAGAGCTGTTTGACAGTGGAAAGGTCTCCCTTGGATCGCCCTTCCGCAGAGATTTTTAAGCAGAGATTGGATGGCCACCTGTCAGGGATGCTTTAGCTGAGATTCCTACCTTGCAGGGGGGAGTTGGGCTAGATGCATAGCTGTTTTTGTGTGTTTTTTTAAAATTTATTTAATCATTTTTTCAATACAAACAGCAACCACAAAAAACACATACAACAAAAACCACAATAACACAATTTAACAATTCAGATTTGAGTACTGATATACCTATAACTACACCTTTTTAACAGTATTTCCCCACCTCTCCTCCCCCTACTTCCCACCACTTTACACCTTATCTCTTAAGTAATCCTTCCAGATTTCTTCATATTTATCCATTCTTAATTTGTGTCAATACGCAATTCGTTCGTATGTAACTAGTCTGTCCATATTGTCAATCCATGTGCCCAATGGGATCTTTTTGCAGCTCTTCCAATTCATCAGAACAAGTTTTTTTGTTTCTAATATGGCACGGTACATCCATTTTTTTTAACCCCTTGTAATCTCCCACGTTTCTGGTATATAATTTAGAATTAAATTCAAATTCCCTAAATAACATTTTTTTTTAAATCACTCTTGCTATATATATCCTCACCTCGCACCAAAATGATCTTATCATCGGGCAGCAAATCATCATATGTACTAAGTTTGCATTTTTACTTCCACATCTCCAGCAGTTGTCTGCATTTGTTATTTTCTTCTGGTAAAGTTTTGCTGGAGTCCAATGGACTCTGAATATTATTTTCTGCTGAATAAGTCTTAGTCTTAGATCCATAGAAGCTATTTCTGTTGATTTTATACATGACTCCAATATCACTTGTTATCTAAATCATACTTGCATAGCTGTCAACTTTTCCCTTTTCTTGCGAGGAATCCTATTCGGAATAAGGGAATTTCCCTTAAAAAGGGGAAACGTTGGCAGCTATGGCTAGATGACCTTCGGGGTTCCTTCCAGCTCTACAGTTCTAAATACAAACGTCACAGATCTCCTGGACCTCTCGCATTTCATGGCCTTTTGGCCTCACTGTTTACAAAATTAGTTTCCCTATCTGTGTCTGCCAAGTGAGGATAACAGTTCATGCATCTGATAAAGCTGATACTTTCCCCCGAAGCTTGTGCCAAAATAGACCTTGAAGGTGCTTCAGAAGACTAAATTGTTTTTGCTGTACCAGACTAATCTGACTACCCTTCTGGAGTTCCCCAGAAGTTAGGCATTCTTTATTTGATAAGGGTTTTGCTGGCATTTTGCTCATTGCACCAGAGTGTTCCAGAGGCTTCTACTGATGGAAGTCTTATTGCCAGCTGAGTGACAGTGTTTGATACAGCCCAGTGGTGTCTATTCACATATTTTTGTGTAGACCACCAAGTATAAATAAATCCAGCTATCATTTTAGGTTTGCATAGAATTAATTCCTCAGCAAGTAGACCTGTTAATACGCAATTAAAACTTCACAATCCCAGTGTCCACCAATAAAAGCTTTATTGTATGCAGGCAAAATACATAGTTATATTGACATTGTATGGTTTTACAGGATAAAGAAAGAGTCCCCGGAAGGATTCTTGAAACTGGACTAAGCTCTTAATGACATAAAGAGGAACAAACGCTGTCACTGTTGCAATATTTATTATAATATTTCAGCCTTCCTTCGAGAAGCTGAGGGCATTGTATAACCCACATTTTATTCTCACAACAACCCTGTGAGTTGAGTTTGACTGAGAAAACGTGACTGGGCAAAGGTTCACCCCATGAGCTTTGTGGCTGAGTAAGGATTTGAACCTGGATCTCTGACGTTCTAGTTTAACATTCTAAACACTGCCGCACACTGGTTCTCAGGTGCCTCAATATGAGACGTTGGAAGTAAGTTAGAGTACAATTTTCTAGAATCTAAATGTGACTTTGCACCAGAATGGAACGTTTATTCTGTGTGGAACAACCCTTTTACTCAATCGTGGTTGAATAAATAATAGCAGGTAAAATTATTTGACCTGTGCTTGTTTACCACTTTCCCATAACTCTAATAGATCACTTTTGAAATGTCAGTATTGCCGCAAACCGTGTTCCTTTTGCATCCCCAGTGGTGTAGGAATGGGGGGCGGAGGGGGCGGGTCGCCCTGGGTGCCACTCTGGGAGGGGTGACAAGATGGCCCCTGCCTCCCCTCAGCTGTAGAGCGAGCGAGGGAGCCAGCAGTCCGTATGGGCGCCACTCACGCACCGTCCGTATGGACGCACAGTCCATATGCGCTGTGCTGCCCTGGGAGCCGGAGAGGGTTCCTCTGCCACTGTACATCCCCCAATGAACTAAGGTTCAGATATCATTTCTTCAGGTTTACTATGGCTCAGAGCTGTAAAAATGGGAAACCAATGGTTCCTGTGTTGTTGGACCTCAACTCTCATCCTACAACCTCTGTCCACAGTCAGTTCAGCCAATAGTCAGGGGTGATCAGCAACATCTCTGGAGGGATGCAGATTCTCCAGTCCTATGCTAGGCATTTTGCCAGAGGCCTGCAATCTCATGGCAATTTCTAATGATCTACTGGAATCCACTATGTGAATTTGTACCATCACACAGTGAATTTTTTTCCTTTGCTCTCTGCTACTGGTCATCACCAATGTGGCCCCAAATCACATAGTGGGAGTAGTAAATTCACCATTAGAATATAAGGTTTAAAGTAGTGCTGCAAATAAGTCTTCAGAAGACCACTAGTGGCCAGTGTAGTGGTATGGAACTTAACTTGAGAGGGCAGAGCAGTGGGGTTGTAAACATTCTGGGGGGTGGCTCACTCAGGTGGGAGTGATGGATTGCCTCCACCATAGCCCTGCCCAATCCCCATCCAGGTTATCTGCAGCGACACTGGTGTTTGGAGGGTGTGGGGAGACCCTTCCACACCAGCCAATACTGCAAAAATTACTTAGCCCACATATTATTTTACTAGTCCACTTCTATTTGGTTCATCTGAAAGAAAACCACCACCACCAGTTTCCCAGCATATAAATGCTTCCCTTCCCAATCATGTGAGGCTTATTCCTGCTCACCACATGTGATGAGGCAAGCAGCCATTTTGAAACCCTGTCAGCACCAACTCTTGGAGTTCATCCAGCGCTAGATTGGGATATTTTTTTCACACACAAAGAAAAGTACAAATTTGCTTCCATGATGGAACTCAAAGTAGCATATAAGGGATTTTAATGCTGTATTGTTTTTAATACTCAATTGGGAGCCGCCCAGAGTGGCTGGGGAAACTCAGCCAGATAGGCGGGGTATAAATAATAAATTATTATTATTATTATTTACCTCATGGTCTTCCATTCAGACACTGCCCAGGGCTATACGTGCTTAGTTTTAAGTTGACAGGCCTTCAGACAATTCCTGGGGCTCGAAATAACAACCTGCATTTGCAAACTTGGTGCCCTCCAGCTGTTTCGGACTGCAACACCCATCCCTCCCAGCCAGCAAAGCTAATGGTGAGGGATGATGGGAATTGTAGTTCAACACCTGAAGGGTACCAAGTTGGGAAGCCAGCTCTGAAACTAACTCCCTCCACATTCAAAAAGCCTTGGTGGTGGTGGGGAAGAACCACATTAAGCAACCAATAACTGAAGCCAATGTATTATAGGGAAAAGAAATCCATTTTTTTATTTTTTTCACTCATAATTTATTTACAAATACACATTATAACTTTTATATACATTGCACATTTACATGGTAGAAAAGTACAAAACTATATATTTAAATGAATTTATATTTAACTCGCCATGTTTGAAAATATAAAATTGCCTCAGAAACAAAAAAGTATTATGAAAAGCAAGAAACTTGAACTGATAAAGCTTTGATATAATATTCTGTGAAGACTTTGAATGAGAAATGAAAAGGACTTTTAAAAATGGAACTGCAGGACCATCTTAAAGGAAACATCAAATAAAACGTTGATGCATGTGACAATGTATTTTTTTTTCAATAAAAAATTATGCTCTCATTACACTTAGCCATATAGCTATTAACGGCCTTCATAATCCGATCTTTGGGTTTGGATTCTCATAGTACAGTAGAAATGTCCAGTACACTGAGATCACCTCAATAACAAGAATCAATCAGAAGAACATAACCAAGGGATAACCAAGGGGAAGAGGTTTCCTTAAAGACTGCCTCGTTGCACCCCGAATCTATAGTTAAGTCAGTTTACAGCGCCTTTTGGTCAGTCAAGATTCCTTGTAAACAAATACCCGAGGGATTGTGGATGTATGTACAGAACCGGCAAGGAAATGCAATAAATAAAAATGTAACAGGAAACTGACATGCAAAGTTTTGTTAAAGTGGAAAAGAGTTAACACTGGCAGAAACAAGGCTATGAAGAGTTGTGACGGGGATGGGGGGGATAAGCTCTAAGGAATGGATTTATAGTTTACAAGAAAAAAAGAAGAAGCTTTACTATACAGGCAAGAGACCTCACAATAAATAACACTGTTCATCCCATAACGATTAAATTTCTTCCAAAAAAAAAAAAAAAGGTGTACAGTCAATCGGACATTTTTTTATGTATAAATTATAAAACATGACACAGTATAAATAAATGTCTACAAGATTCAACTATATGTATACTTTTTTCTTCCCCAAATAAATAAGCATACATTTATGTACAGTATGGACATTGTATTTCTTGCCCAATGGCTGTTCCAAAAGTGATGGAAGTTTTACCACTGATTGGAAGATAAGCTGTAGTCCTGGTCGTCGTCTTCGTCGTCTTCGTCAAGATCTTCATTAATGGCTAGATAGGAGAATACAGGGGAGCTGTTGTTTAAACACGGACAACAACAGCGCAGAAGCAGCTCAGAGCATGTTTTCAAAGCCCCCTGCATAGCCGTGATAGAGAGTTGCATTTTTACTCTTTTTTTGTTTTGTTTTTTTTAAGCGTGGCTTGTAGTGAGATGCGCTTTGGCATCTGCTGTTACGCAATAAAGTTTTTGTGTGCATGTGTGTGTGTGTTACATAATCTATGAAGTCATAACTGCAGCAAGTTCTGAAGACTCAATGGCTCAGGTTTTATTGGCAGATTCCTGAAATTAGATAAAAAGTGCTCTTGTGTTCTAGGTTTTTTAAACTGCTTTTTTATTTTTATTTTTTTGAGTCCTTCATTCAGAGGCAACTGCAAGGAGACAGCAGCCCACGTGGTTAAGTGTTAAGCTAGGGGGGTCGCAGGAGGGAGTGGGGAGGGAGGGTGCGATTAGATTGTAGCCAAGTGTTAATAAAGCAAACAGCAAAGCACACTGAAGCAAACGATATTAAGAGAGGGCAGGAAATCGCCCGAAAGATGCATTTAAGGCAGCCCTCTGATGTTAAGCAGACCCTTTCCTACAATGAGAAAAGGCTCCCCAAAATGTCCGCTGTTGGCTATCTGTTATGCCTTACGAACCACAAGACGTCTGTATAATATATAAATCTTTCTGCATAAGATCTCTCTCATGTTCCCTTTCATGTTTAATAAGGGTGTCAGTCTTCCCTAAACTGGGGGCTGTTTTGCCTTCAGAAGATAACCGTTCCTGGGAAGGTTAAAAATCTCACTTACAGTTGCAAGATCCTGGGTGCTTTACTTCCAAAAGTACACCCAGTGAACACGCTGCCTCCTTCATAGCACATTCGCTTGGGTAAGTGGTGTTATCGCTGGCACAAACAGATTCATCCGATTTGCTTTCGGGACAGAGCTCGTCGCAGAGGGCACACCGGCCTCTGCCCACTTTTAAATCCCACAAACATTTCTTCCCGGTGCTGCATTGGATGTCTTCGCAAGATTTGGCCTCTACAAGAGATTTTCATTAAAAAAAAAAAGAAAAAGAGGGGAGGGGAAAAGAGGTTGACGTTTGCTTGCTTGTTTTTTTTTTAAAAAAAAGAACAAAAGCAAAGTAACTGTGACTTTATATTCTGACAATTTCTGCAGGGTCACAAAGACGATTCCAAAAAACAACAACCCTGTGACTGCCCAACAGGAGGCAGTGAAGCTGGAGGTGTGGGGAGAAGCTAGGACTTAAAATTGAGTTTTACTTGTCTCCTGGTTTTCTGATGGAGGGTGGGGCCCTGGCTGAAAGTTTTAGCTAGAAGAGGGAGAGTTTCAGCTAAAGCCACTGGAGGTTGTGAGTGCAATCTCAGAGAGGTTTCCTTATCCAACACTCTCAATCAGCAGAGGCTGATGCCCCTTAGGACTGGCAGGGAGGCCAACAGTAGATGCAACCAGAGTCAACGGCAGGTAGAACAAGAGACAATGATAGGCAGGGCCAAATAATTCTGGTTTTGCCCCCATCCTCCTCCCTACTGAATTCTGCAAGTGCAAAGAGATGGAGGACAAAGAGGAATCTGACTGCTAGTGCCACTCTCTGGACTGATTATTAGGAGGTGGGGGCTGACAGAGGACAGACTAAGATTGGTAAGGCAGAGCTCCATTCATCCTAGCAGACCAGCCTCCAATGCTGTCTGCTCAGGCTAGGTAGAGAGACAGGGTCACGATGCTGGATACTGAGAGGCATAGCAGTGAGGTGATGGATGACAGAGCTGTGTGGTCTACGCAGCCTGCCCTGCACCCCATAAGCTATACTGCTATCCTCCTGTTTGGTGCAGAATCCTGTTCCTTCTCCTGTTCTGAAACAAGATTCATTTGCTAGCCTGCTCTACTTTCTGAACATGGAAGGTTGAGGAGTGCCATCTGTTCCTTTGCTGGCCTCAGGATTGTTTTACTCTACTTGCCTTTGGGTGTAATGGCTCAAGCTGAAACCCTTGCCATGGCCAAATCCTATAAATCTGATTTATTGGCAACAGCCACCACAGAAAGTGCCAGCCCTTAAAATTGTGTTGGCTGGGGTGAAGGACAAGGTGGTGACACTCCACACACAGAAACCAACTGTGCTGGTGGTTGAATCTTACTTCCACACTAATGACGGGATAATACTCTTCACCACACCTAGAGAGGCCAGGAGAGGCTGTGTGGCAACACAAGGGAATGGCTGCAGAGCTCAGGAGGAACTCTGGGTGGCTGCTGCTTCTACCCACCAGCATCTGCTGCCTGAGGCGGGTTCCTCACTTTGCCTATTGGTAGGGCTGGGCCTGACTATAGGAAAGCACTAGGGGTGAGTGTCAGCTCTCTGTGTGGGCTGGATAACCAGGTGAATCAGAGTGATTCAGGAGTCTTTCCCTCCCATGCTGAAGTGCCACATCAAAAAGAAAGACAGACCCGCCCACTCAGGATTATGGACGAAAACGAATCCCTTTTATGTCCCTCACAAAAAAACCCCACTTGGATCAATTTATCCACAATTTGACAGGCATAATCCACTCTGGAAGGACTACCGTGCCTACAAACTTTATCCACTCTGGCCAAAATAAGGGAAAAGTTTTAGCTAATGTTAGATTCCCCATTACAAGTGAATGAAGAAACACAGAGTTGTTTTAGACACAGTGCCTGGGAACTAGAAACACAACCCAAAGCAGAGAGAATTCAGAGTGACCTTGAGAGGAACCGGGGTTTTTAAAAGGCAGAGATTCAAGGTGAATTTTTAGGCCCATTCCCTATGAATAAAAGAAAACACACATGACTGCCCTCAAAATGGCCCTAGGTTGCCTGATAAAGGGGGTGTTGGTGACACACATTTGCCACTGAGATCCGTAAGCATAAGCATACTCTCAAGGGAGCAAATCCCATGGAACCCAGGAGGACTTAGAAGTGGGCTATGTGGCTCTTGTGTCATACTGATCTTCCAGGTCAGAGGTAGTGGCCTACTGCCAATGTAACAGCTTCCACATGAGCTGCTGAGCCAACTCTGGGCACAGGGACAGCTCCCAGTGCTGGCACAATGTTATAAACTAGTAATTGCTGCTGGTCCCAAGACCCCTGTGCTCGATCTTTGAGACCAAAGATCAAAATAGGATTTTTAAGGGAAAGGCATGCGAGGAGAGAGGGAGGGAGGGAGGGAGAAGCATCTTGCTTTCTAGGGCTCAATTAGTCCTCTATTTTTATAAACAGTGGCAGACCCAGCCGCAATGGTCACACTGAATGACTAGCTCTGCATTCTCAGAAGGGTCAGATAATGTAGCAAACCACTTATGACACCAGAAGGAGTTGCAAAATCAGCTCGTGTTACAGCAAGGAGCCCAAACAAGATCAAAGTTTTGTCTCCCACTCTAGGTGTTAGGTTAGCACGGCAAAGCAAGGGGAGATTGCGTGATCAGAAACCTCTCTGTCTTGAATGGTGACTGTACTCATTTTGCCTATGTTTGAATTTGCGTAGAAATGTCACAGGCTGTACATTTTGCAAGTCAAGGTCCTTTAGCTTCAATGTTTACAGCCAACTGAGGACAACATTTCATGCAATCAGTACAATGGCTTGTGATGCATGAACCAGGTCAAATTTATTTACCTTGAAGGATCCACTGCAGTCTTTATTGTTTTAGCATGGAGTGTATAGTGTATGTGACTGTATAGGGCAGTGGTGAGGCAGGGCAGGGGGAGAGCTGCTGTTAAAAAAAGTTAAAAATCTAAGATCTTGGCCACATGCAAAGTGCTTTTTTAGATTGTAGCTGTTGCCTTTCTTTCTGTCCATAAATTCAGTACAAGATATATAATTTGCAGCTGATTATCAAATTAGTAAATTATATAGGGAATCACATCAGCCGTTGGCTTCAGTTGTACAACCTTCAGCTGAAACTTGTATTATCTTCTTTCTTGGCTGCTATGGCTATTTTGCACGCTAACATGGCTGCACCGTTATTCCCCCACTCCTGTGGGAGATCTAGTTTCCCCCATGCTGTGTATAGCACTGTGGAAATTGCATTTCTCAATGGTCCAGGCGTAAGAGAGGTGAATATGAAAGAAAGTCCCCTTGTTTTGTTCATCTCCTGTAGTTCCCCAGTTGACCTCCTGATTTGCTTGTGCAGTGTTTATATAGCTTCGTGTTAATCGTTCCTTCATCCCACAATTTCAGTGTACTTCCCTGTCACTTTCCTAACTGCAGAAAGTCTGTTGATATTTTTTAAAGTGGATTTGTTACACTAGGGCCACAGAGCACTTCAATCTTCTTTAATTGTGCTAACCTAAATGTCCAATATGTGCTTTAATCCCTTGACCAAACATAAATGGAAGGATGTAAGGTTGCCATATTTCAAAAACTGAAAATCCAGACAAAAAGGTTGTTGAGCTTTTTTGGAAAAAAAATTATTTGCCAAAAAACCCCACACTTCTGATATGGACTGATGTGGGTTTTCCCAGACATATTGACTGATTTCCAAAAATGCCACCTGGATGCCATTTTTGATGGACGTATTCCAGACATATGGCAGCCCTAGAAAGATGAGAATGCAAGTGGGTAATGGGGGGGGGGGAATGACTTGAAAGCTCATTGAAGCAGCTGAGGGGGGGACCAGAACCTGCCATGCTCTCAGTGGTATCATCAGGGAGACAACAGGCTCAGCTTATTTTTTCTGAATTTGTTTTTTCCAAGCCCAGCACCATGCATGACCAGGGTTGGTAGTGATGGTTCCCTGTCACTAATTTTGACACTGGCAGATATCACCAATTGGCTGATTTCCCCAGGTATGTTCAGATAGGGTTCTGCATTTTTCACTTGTAGAAGTCACAGACTTAAAATATGAAGTGCTTTTTATCATCCATTGTAAATGCTCACAAGTGATGCATTCTGGACTAAAATGTGCTTTTAATAGCACTTAGGAAAGCTGCCTGGGTGGCAGAGCAGGACAGAGTCTTTTAATGTAAGGGAATGTAAGTACAAAGGAGCTATTGAGGTGTAGTGTCTATAGAGTGCCAGATTTAAATAAGTTAAACATACATTCAGAACCCTGCTCAGCTGTGATGCACACCACTTGATCTTGGGGGAAAAGACACAGGATATGTTGCTAATCTAATGTCTGACCCCCACAAATGACAGATGAGGTGGTAAAACTTTGCCAGAACAATGCCTCTTGAGACTGTATATATGAGCTCAAATGGCTGAATGCAAAAAAAAAAGAGAGCTCCCTATAAAAATCCCTAGAAAACTAGAGTGCCAGGAAAAAAGCTAAGCTAGAAGTTCTCTTTTTGATCTACTTTTCTACTACATTTATTTATTTATTGTATGGAGAAGCATTTGATCATGTAAGTCCATAGCTGCAATCTGAATTGGTACAGCACTGAGAGTTTAACATGCTATCCACTGTTTGTGAGAACGAGGTTAAAAAGCCCTTTCCCCAAAAGCCTGCCCTTTTTGGAGAAAGGGGAGAGCACAACTTTAACAAATGATCTGAACTCCCAAGTTTCCCCAGTAGGACAGAGTTATAAAGCATCACCAAGGTGAATGAGAAAGTTTCTGGAAGATGGAGAGGAGCATGTCTTCTGTGGAAACAGGCAAAAGTCGTCTCCTATCACATGCAACCCCACCCCTCTACAGTGGTACCTCGGGTTACAGATGCTTCAGGTTACAGACTCCGCTAACCCAGAAATAGTACCTCGGGTTAAGAACTTTGCTTCAGGATGAGAACAGAAATTGCCAGCCGGCGGTGCGGCGGCAGCAGGAAGCCCCATTAGCTAAAGTGGTACCTCAGGTTAAGAACAGTTTCAGGTTAAGAACGGACCTCCAGGACGAATTAAGTTCTTAACCCAAGGTACCACTGTATCTTCAAGTTCCATACTGGAATCAGCAGGGAACTGGGTTTTGTAGAAAAATTATTGCGTTAACTAGGGCTGAAAGTATTAACTGCTTTTGACTGTATTTCTGCCTGTGACGAAAGTCTCAATTCTGGGGGGTACTCCTTGCAAAAAGGTTTGTTTCAGTTGCCCTCACTTATCCTGACCCTTAGCTGCCATCTGTGATACAAATCTGACTGACTTTGCAAAGTTGTAATGATATCTCATTACTTAATTCCTCAGTGGGTACGGTGATCTATGAGGAAGGTGCAAGAAGTTGAAGCAAGAGGGGAAATGGCAGAGATATAGCAGCCAGGTAAATGGAATTAGAAAAGTGGATTTTCTGTAGAAATTTCCATGCCACTGAAAGGCTAGTCTTGACCAAAAAGTAGAGAAAAACTGGCGCGCCCCTTGCACAACACATTCCATTCCTCATCTTCCACACCAAAACCACAGCAGAAGAAAATGCTAAAAGTTCCAAAATTGCTTAAAAACCAAGTAGGAATGTATTCCTGGAATCCAGAAATCCAGGTTTTAGTTCAATAAAACTTTCTATTTAATTCAGCTGACAATTACTGAGGACAAATCTTTGGCCCACCTCCCATTGGAACCCCAAATACATGAGGATACCAGATCTTTGAAGATGTTTTCAGACCACATGGCTTCAGTGTTGAAGTCAACTGGATTCCAATAGAAACAACTGCCTGAACAACAATTCATGGGGAATATTATTTTACATGGACCGAAAATAGCTTTTCTCCCTTAAAAAATCTAGATCTCTCACAGGAATGGGGAAATAACAGTTTGTAGTGAAGCCATGTAGCGTGCATAGCCATAGCATCAGAGAAAGAAGGGATGAGAAAAACCTTTTTCCAGCCTTGGCATACTGAGTGATAGGATGGAAGGGAGAACTGAAGGTCTTCTTGGACTCAGGTTAAAATCTGAACCGGAGAAGAAATTTGGGGCTCATAATACCAGCCTCATATTGTAGTTACCCAAATTTGCGTTTTTGGGCTCACAATACTAGTCTCCTATTGGAGTTACCCAAATCTGCATTTTTCAAGTCTGGAATTATGAATTTCAGCACCAGCCCAACTCCCGAGTCTCTCCCCTTGCTGTCACTTAAACTGCCATCTGCTCCTCTTCTGTTGCAAAGAAATTGTATTAGAATGATTATGGTTGCCGGATGAAGGAGAAATTTTAGGGGATTATTATTACCTGATAGTTTAATTGATTAACAGTGCAACACTATAGATGTCTACTTGTCCCCACCACATCCAAATACTAGTTGGATCAGCTCATAGATGGTGGGGGCAGGGGACCTCAGGGGGTGCACAGGGCTTTGGATCCAGTGGCTCTAAAGCAGGTGGCTCCCCATAATAGAAAGCCCTATTTTAGGGCTTCGTGAGCTTTTGCGCCCACTTGGGCATAGCACAGACCCTCCAAGAGTCCCTATTTCCCAAGGACGTCCCTGATTTAGAGAAGCCATCCCAGTTTTCTGATTTGATCCCAGAATGTCCCCTAGGATGTCCCTATTTTCATTGGAGAAATATTGGAGGTTATGGAGTTATCTGACCCTCGAGCTGTTTGAAGGCAGTCCTGTACAGTCTTATCTTGTTTTGCGACTGGGTTCTGTTCAGGAGCCCCGGCCGCTAGCCGAAAAGGACACAGGGCAAAGTGCCGTGTCTGCGCATGCGCGCGTCCGGGTTTGCCACGGACGTTTGCTGGAATGGACGCTAGATGAGGCAGACGTTCGCAGAGGTATTACTGTATAAGGAAGGGGTTTTTTTTAATGTTTAATGTTTTATTGTGTTTTTTATATATGCTGGGAGCTGCCTAGAGTGGCTGGAGCAACCCAGTAAGATGTGTGGGGTATAAATAGTAATATATATATATATCATTATGGAATGGGACCTCCCTAATTTCATTGGAGAAATGTTGGAGGGTATGATAGCATGGGACCTCTGCCACAGTGGAGCCACCCCATACTAGTGGTACAGAGGCCAGCATGGAGGAATCCATGCAGCTTCCTAACATCTCAAGTCATTGACATGGAGTATATATATTAGGGTTGTCCCATCAATCTATGTACATTTTCCCATGAGAGGAAAACAGCCACAGCACTTCTTAAGAGGGAAGCATGCTGAAATTTGGTTTGACTGATGTACACATGCCTTGAAGCTGGAGGATTTTTTGAGAGGCATTTCCTTTTCACATAGGAGAGAATACCTCTTGCAAGATGATACTTTCTATCTGCAGTGTTAATATGTAACTATGGCTATTACAAATAATTTTCAAGTTGACCTCAGGGCACCTTTTTAGTCAATGTAATTGTTTAAAATTGATTCATCTAAGCAATTTAGCAACTAAATCAGGTGTGGGGAACTTGAGGTTCCAACATTGTTGGACTCCAGTTCTCATCAGCCCCAACCTGCACAGCCAACATTTACCAATGATAGAATATTTAGTCAGCAGGTTCCTCACCCCTGATCTAAACCTTGCCATCTTAATTGTAACAGAAATGTAGTTTGATGGCAAGGAAATGTGGTTTGAAATAGGGTCATCAGGTTGCCTTGAGCAAGTCTCTATCTCACACCCTCTTTCTCTCAAAGCCTTTAGTTCTTTAACTTTAAAATGTAAATCATACCTCACAGAATCATTGTGGGGGCCAGTGTGTGTAAAGTAAATGAATATATATTTGCCTTGCTGGCTTATGCCACCTATATCTGAGGGGCACAGATACCCCGAAAGCAACCTCTCTCCACTCTGGAGGGTTCCTCTGGCTTACAGGTTGCCCAAATCCAGGTGTCTCATCCAGCCAATATTGAATACACACTCTCTGACACTGGCTGTTGTATGGTACTCATTGCCCTTCTTGTTAAGGCGACTGATGGAAGCTATCTGGCTCCCAATAGGGTAGCCCCACAACCATTTGCCACCCCACACATTGGTAAACTTCCCCGTGAGACAAGAGGAAGCAGAATGGGGATTACAATGGTAATATTTAAAGTTTATAGAGCACCTTTTGAGTGTTCAAAGTCCTACATTCCTGTGGTGTGATTCTATAAAACAGTATTTTCCTCGCTCTTCAGTAGATACAGTTGGCCCTCACTCATCTGAGGTGAACTCAGAAAACCTACCAAGATAACTGGTGGAGAGTCCACACAGAAGAGGTTCTGTGGGCAGGAAGGAGGGGTGTGTGTCCTCAGGTGGGGGAAAATCTATTTAAAATGACTTGAAGAGGAGAACTGGTCAGGGTAAAGGTTAAACACAGGATCATAGGAAGTGGCTTATGCCAAGTATTGTCTACACTGACAGGCAGCCGTTCTCCAGGAATTGAAACTGGGTTTTCTCCCAGCCCTGCCTGGAGATGGCAGGGATTCAATCTTCTGCATGCAGAACAGATGCTCTATCACTGAGCCAAGGTCCTTCCATAAACACTCCTTCCACCTGCCAGTTCTCTCCTGTGGCTGCCTCTCCACTAGACACCGAGCAGGGAGCCCTGTGTTTCCCTCACAGTATCTGGTTCCACCCATGAGGCACAGATCCCAAGTTGGATGGTGTAGCCTCCTTCATTCAGGCCTCTCGGGTTTTCCCCACCCCCAATGCATGGTACTTACTGATACATTTTCCTTCGTAGGCTAGACCGATGGATCTTCCGAGCAGGCAGGTTGCTTTCCTCAGATGACAAGCGCTTGCATATGTGATCCCGTCGTTCCCACAGAGATACTGTTCAGGGGAGGTGGGCTCTGGGCAAATCCGATTGCATGTCACACAGTTAGCGTTATTGTTTTGATCGACCACACAGGTGGAGCTGCCAGGGCACAAAACGTCCCTACAGGTCTCTGAAAGAATAGACAGGGGGAACGACCTGTGAGCAACAACAGGAACCACCTTCACCACCAAGTAGCTTAGAATAACATGTGGCACCAACAACAACCACTGAGAAGTTGTTTTGTAGCTTTTTACGTTAAATGGAAATGAACATAGTGAAGAGATGGCCACTCTGTCTCAGTGGTGGGGAGTCTCTGGTCCATTTCTGGCTAATTAGGCCTGTTTTCCCCAAACTATTCTGGCCCACCTGCTCCACCCCTACAAATATATCTGTCTGTCCCACACATCAGGGCTTGTGAAGTGTGAGCAGGCAAAAACAAGCCAGACTGCTTAGTCTTCATCCAGTGGGCTCCCACTTCCAGTTTTTGAAGTCGCATATGCATTGTGTTCGTTGCAATCCAGGTGAATCCTCTAGTTTCTTGAGGTAAACTGCTGTTTTTCTCAAACCAGCTTACAACAATAATTGTAATTTGTTACTTATACCCCACTCATCCAACTGGGCTGCCCCAGCCACTCTGGAGAGCTTCCAACAGAATATAAAATTCTGTTACAGGACTGCCTTCAAATGTATTTAGCAGGTTGTGTAGTTGTTTATCTCCTTGACATCTGATGGGAGGGTGCCACTGCCGAGAAGGCCCTCTGCCTGGTTCCCTGTAACTTCACTTCTCGCAGTGAGGGAACCGCCAGAAGGCCCTCAGAGCTGGGCCTCAGTGTCGAGGCTGAACAGTGGGGGTGGAGATGCTCCTTCAGGTACACAGAGCCAAAGGAGTTTAGGGCTTTAAACACCAGCACCAACATTTTAAATTGTGCTAGGAAACGTACTGGGAGCCAATGTAGATATTTCAGGACCAGAGTTATATAGTCCCGGCAGCTGCTCCCAGTTCCCCGTCTGGTGGCCACATTCTGGATGAGTTATGAGTTTCTGAGTCACCTTCAAAGATAGCCCCATGTAGAGCTTCAATATGATTAGCTGCATTTACTTCATACTTAAGAAGGATGTGTATGTGTGAGACAGCCACCACACATGAGGCAGATGACAGCTGCAAGAGCAGGAATTCCAGGTGGACAGGGTTGCAAAGCCATGCGCATCCAGGCGAAGACACATCTGCCTCCTGTCTGGTGTGAACAACACCATGCAAATGTGAATTGAAACACAGCGAGGTGGGGGTGGGGCAGGGAATGAACTTGCTGTGTTTTAAGTCTCCCTTCCCTTATCTGTGGTGGCAAAAGGGACATAAGGATCCGGCCCATTGGCCCGATCCAGTTCCCTACCCCTGCTTGGTTTACTAGCCACAACATGGATAGCACTGATGTTTTTAAAACTTGAAGTAGGTGTCACATCCTCTGCATCCCGGTGCCCCTTGTGGTGAACCCTTGCCAAGCCAAGAGGGCACATAATCATCATCATCATCATCATCATCATCATCATCATCTATATTTATATGGGTCCCTACTGAGAAGAGCCATAAGAAAGCAACTGTATCAAAAGGAATTATTGTGAAAATAAGAAATATTTAGGCAGGGAGGGGTGCCTGCCAAATTTTGTTCTCGCCCGGGGTGCCATGATACCAACATCCCCCCCTGTTATGTGGATGAGTGTGACACTGTGAATGTTCTGTTGTGGAAAAAGTAACAGCTCCCAGGACATGGAAACAACTAGGGCATCAAGGGCAGGATCAGCTTTAACTATTCTCCAGGATTATTCTTGCTTTTCAATTGCAAATATGTTTTAGTTGTACATATGTTAATTGTTTTTTTGGTTGGGGGGAGGGTAATTTTCAAGTGGCATTCCCCACCTATAGCCTGAAGAGGAACACTTGAGCCAACCGCCTGAGGACTCTACCACCTCATTCCGTTACACATGGGTAGGACAGGCTTCTCAGCACCCTTAACAAACTACAGATCCCAGGATTCTTTTTCCTTTTTTAGAGGGGAAGCCATGTGCTTTAAATGTATGACGTGTACACAGTCCTTACTGGGGGAAATTGAGTTAGAATCCACAAAGCACTTTTCTGCACTGGTATCTCCTGCATTATATACCATGATAAGTAGTATACCAGGAGCACCAGCAACTTCTGATTTTCCAGATATACCTTCTCCCCCACCAGCATTGCAACCCAGAGAACAGATAAGTTGCAAACTTACTTTTGCATCTGCCCTGGTACTGGACTTCCAGTTCAGGCTGCTCTTTACACCTGGCTTTCAGAAGGGCACACTCATTCTTGTAGGTTTTCCCATCCAAGCCACACACTGGGCCCTTCCATGTGATATTAGAGCAATCTGGAGCACAGACACACCGAGGTTTGTTCTTCTTGTTCATTTTGCATTTCTTCCCAGGCCCACAGTCCACATTCTCACAGGTTTCTAAAGAGGAAACGGGAAAGGGAGCAGGGCAGTGTTCGGGGTGGGTGGAAGAAAAACCCAGAGACATTGCTTTAATTAAACACCCAGAGTCCTCACCACAGCTTCACAAACAACCACAGGCTGACCCAGAATATAAGGAAGGTTATCCCCTCTCCCCTTCGCCGTAGCAAAAAGGCCATAAAATAAAAACACAGGATCTTCCCGTTTGCTGAGCCGGATGCTTTCAACGTGACGCACAAGTCTGTATCCACTCCACTCCTTCCCAAATGCCCCTTATTCTGAGGCACAAAATAATGTCTGTGCACTCCCCAGTTATTAGCCTGCAATATAGCAAGCATTGGACAGTAGCAACAGACATTAGAGCCCCCCCTCCATTGAAAAGGTGGACCATGCTATCCTTTTAATCGTCTGATGGCATGCCAAAGGGGCTAATCTCCAACGAGAAACTGCATGCGCAGGACTAACAAGTGAGATGCATGTCAAAGATTGCTTCTTTGAGGAAATCTGCCTCAGCTCCTCCCTTTCTCCAGTCCGTTAGAATAATAGAATTGTAGAGGATCATCTGCTCCAACCCACTGCAATGCAATCTTTTGCCCAACATGGGGCTCAAACCCTGAGATGAGGAGTCTCATGCTCTACTGACTGAGCTATGCAGTATCTTCTCTGCTCATCCAGCACTCCTGACCTGTTGGGTTTTGTTCTCTACCCTCTTTCATTGGGGAGGTCATTTAAGTTACATACAGCCCAAGGTTGCACGTGCCTCTCTGAAAAGCCCTGGCTGCAATCCATTTCTTTTTAAAATTATTATTATTCTAGAATAATCCTGCCCAAGATACTTGGGTAAGTGAGTTGCTGCTACACCTTAAAAGGTAAAGGGACCCCTGACCATTAGGTCCAGTCGTGGCCGGCTCTAGGGTTACAGCGCTCATCTCGCTTTATTGGCCGAGGGAGCTGGCGTACAGCTTCCGGGTCATGTGGCCAGCATGACGAAGCCGCTTCTGGCGAACCAGAGCAGCGCACAGAAACTCTGTTTACCTTCCCGCTGGAGCGGTACCTATTTATCTACTTGCACTTTGACATGCTTTTGAACTGCTAGGTTGGCAGGAGCAGGGACTGAGCAATGGGAGCTCACCCCGTCGTGGGGTTCGAACCGCCGACCTTCTGATCGGCAAGTCCTAGGTTCTGTGGTTTAACCCACAGCGCCACCTGCATCCCCTGCTACACCTTAGTTCTTTATAAAACAGCCTTCACCATCCTGCCACCCTCCTAACGTTTTGGACTACAACTCCCATCTGCTCCGGCCAGTGCAGGAAAACACCTGGAAGGCACCAGATGAGCAAAAGCTATGGAGCTTTACACACTGTTGCCACCAAAAGAAAGTTCGTAGTGATTGCCACCTTCCTCTTTCATGCTCACTCACACACCATGTTCCCCCATGTAACCAGAGCTCAACTTGAGTCTTCATCACAGCATGCTTTGGACTCCAGTGGTCAGTAAGAGGAACAGGGGTGTTGTTGTTGTTCCTGGCAGGGGCCCCGTGGCCATAATAGCCATGTGGCAAAAAGCTGCTCCCAGCATGAAGATGAATTGGCTGGGAAAGGGTGGCCTGCCAAACTTCTGCTTGTTGTGCAGCTGTTAGAGGCACAGGGGGAACTGCTGGCAAGCCTACCTGCAGACTCTGGTATGAAGAGCACATGCAGAATTTATTTCTGCATAACTCTAGCTGCCCCTAAACACATCTAGAATTAGCTCGAGGCAGTCTTAGAGCCCCAGGAACTCGCCTTCAAAAATAAAATAAAATAGCCACGTCTATTATAAGGAGAAGCTGTTACGGTCAATGCATTTATTTTCTTGTAGAGAAGGAGGCACTGGATGGCAGACTGTCTAGAGACACCAACCTGAGATCTGGAAGCCCTCTCTGTTACTGTAGGGCTCTTGCTAGTCAACAAACGGCAAGGCAAATGCACTCTGTACCAGCTCAGGCAAAGGTAAAGGGACCCCTGACCATTAGGTCCAGTTGTGACCGACTCTGGGGTTGCGGCGCTCATCTCACTTTATTGACCGAGGGAGCCAGCGTACAGCTTCCGGGTCATGTGGCCAGCATGACTAAGCCGCTTCTGGCAAACCAGAGAAGCACACGGAAATGCCGTTTACCTTCCCGCCGGAGCGATACCTATTTATCTACTTGCACTTTGATGTGCTTTCGAACTGCTAGGTTGGCAGGAGCAGGGACCGAGCAACGGGAGCTCACCCCGTCGTGGGGTTCGAACCGCCGACCTTCTGATCGACAAGTCCTAGGCTCTGTGGTTTAACCCACAGCGCCACCCGCGTCCCTTACCAGCTCAGGGACACTTTAATATCTTCTGCCTTGCTACATGTATCACATGGTTAGTTAGTTATTCAGCATATAACCCGCCCTTCACCAGATGATCTCAGGGTGGAAAAGGATTGAGCCCATGGCACTGAAAACAGATGCCTGGGCTCTGAGCCTTGGCACAAATTACGAAGCCCTAGGCTGCGGTGGGTGGGGTGAGAGGTCTCCTCCTTCCTACGAAGGGGCAGCAACTCAGTTTTAGAGCTTTCTATGCAGAAGAACTCAAGCACAACCTCTGACTGCTTCAGGGATAAGAAGAGTTCTCAGGTTGCAGGACTGGGGAAAATGTTCTGCCTGTGTGACCTTGGAGAGAGAAGCGCTGCTGGTCAGAGCAAACACTACTGGTCAGTGTGGACCAATGGTGTCTGACTCAGCACTGTGCAACTTAACAGATTCATTCACATGTTACACTGGACACAGGTACAAAGCTGTCACACAACTCATTGAATGCAACATGTGAACACCCCTGGGGAAGAAATGCAGTCCTTTCCTATTTTTATTTTTAAGAGGCCCCCACCTTTGCAAGGGATACAGTTCGGGGCACCCCCGCTGAAAATCATCCACTTGAAAAGCACGTGATCGCTGACGTCCTCCTCGGTCCAAGAAGTGGTAAGCCTGCCGGTTTTACAGCACTCCTCCTTGCTGAGACCATTTTTGTAGAGGACCTGGCAGCGGCCGTTCCTGGCTTGCCGGAGCCAGCAATTCCCAGCTGCATTCAGAAAGAGAGAGGGAGAGAGAGAGAGAGAGAGAGACCCAGCCATATCAATGTCAGTTACCAGTGACCCAGACACAACACGTGCGGCTTTCATTGACTTTTACTAGACTGTTTACTTTTTATTTGTCCGGTTTCATAACCTGAAGCTTCTCCTCTGGACCAAATGGAAGCGCTATTCCAATAACCTGATCAAGCCAATTTGACGTCTTACTTTTCCATATGGAGAAAGCGCTGTAGCTTTGGAGGGGAGTGTGGCGTGTAGGCTAGGGTGGGGGCCCGAAAAGACTTGATTGCACGTGGCAAGGGTGCGAAATAGATCTCAGGAATTATTATTTTTTTTAAAAAAAAAAGGAAGGAGAAGATCATAAGAAAAAAATGACGCTTATTATCTCCCCCTCATTTGTCCATCCCACACTCCACCCCCTTGCTTAATTCATACATAAAAGTTGGCACACACACAACCGACGGGGAAATTTCACTACAGTCTTTCCCGTTCCTCCACCCAAAGTATAGGATTTGGCAACGGTGGTAGCAGCGATGATAAAACCGTAGTCTTTCGAAATCATCAAACTTTGCTGATTTCATCAATAGAAGAACTAGATGGCTTGTAGTGGAGTAGTGAGTGACCGAAGTGTGCACGCGTACCGCTAAGCGCAGGAGGAGGGAAGCGGAGAAGAATCGGATTAAGCTACACAAGTTTACACGGGTTTACTAGAGAAAAACAATTGGGGGAACATACGCGCACACAAACACACGGTTACCCACAACAACAACCTTGCGGCTGTCTGCTGCTTCTGCTTCTGGATCCGAACCAAGAACACTGATTAGACCTGTCGCTCCATTCTCTGAGATTGAAGAATTTGGGGGAGGGGGGGCAGTCCCTCGTGAACCACCAATGTGACTCCTCCAAACACTCAGTGGCAATCGATTCTGCTTCTTTATCCATATGGGAATTTTGCCAGAGCAAAGAATTCAGAAGGAAATCTCTCTCTCTCTCTCTCTCTCTCTCTCTCTCTCTCTCTCTCACACACACACACACACACACACACGACTAACGTGGTCCCAAGTACCAAATCTATCCGCCTCAAAACTTCAAAATAGTAATGGTAATAATAATTATCGTATTTTAGCTGCTGCCAGTCTAAGGTTGCAATATAGCACCAAGGGAGGCATAATCATTCACAAAGGAAACAGAAATAAATGCCCCAAGTCTAAACTGTAGAAGTATCCTAATAACCCCTTAATCCACACCTAATCAATACTGGAGTGGAGATGGGGGCGAAAATACGTGGTTACATTGTGGGTTGTTTTTTTTAAATAAAAAAAATCACCCTAAGATATCCTTTGCCAAAGTTCACAGAATGGCACAAAACTGGAGGAAAGCAGGGGCACATAAAACAATTATCCAAACTTGAAAAAACTCTTTTCCTCTAGGAGTGTGAGCTATAATAATGAGTTCCTTTCGGAGTCCATATTCCCATCCTCGTCGCGCCAAGATGATTTTAGCAAATTAAACAGCAACCTTACCAAAAAGCTGCAACAACAAAAACAAAACTGCACAGCCTCTCCCTCCCTCCCTCCCTCCCTCTCTCTCAGGCGCGCGCGGGAGCACACACAGATTCACACATGTTCAAAACCAGACCTCCGTGGTGGTCGAACTCAGAAAAGTTCTGAGCTGGTGCAGCGGCTCATTTAAGCTGCAGCGCGTTAGGGATGCAAGATAAAAGCTATTGAGAAAAGGGGCTAGAGCTAATGATGATGAAGGCAATCAAGATTTTAATGATGATTGCGCCTAGCTTCCCTGCCCGATGCACCCGGCCAGACGCGGATCGCCCTGTCACCTCTGCGCCATTTGTGCCAAGGGGCCCGCGCAGAGCGATCCTAAGTACGTTTCCACCCAAAAAAGTAAGTCCAAGTGCGAGTTGAACGGACTTGTTTATTTATGTCCGAGACGGCAGCCGTAGACATGCAAAATCTCAGACATGTCTGCTCAGAGGCATGCCCCGTTGAGTTCCACAGTCAGCTCATCTGACGGGAGAGTCTCTGGAGAAAAGCGTGGGGGAAGAAGGCAGAAAGGGTAGACAGACAGACTCTCTCTAGGCAGACGGATGACAGAATAGGCACATCTGCACATTAAAAAGGCGTAAAAGCGCATCTTACCCTGTGCTGTTTGATCTTCCATGAAGTGGCAGAAAAACAGTAGGAGAAAAACCATGCCCGGGAAGATTCTCTGGTTTAACATCCTTAGTTATTTCCCTCCAGCGGAAAGAGAAGACGCAACCTCTCAAGTAGCAGGAGGAAGACGAGGGAAACGAAAGAGCACGCCAGACAGACAAGCCTGCTTATTGAATGAACGTCAGGCTCTGAATGCTGCCTCTCTTTAAATCTATGGGGTCTTAGCTCTGCGGTGGGCGGTCTCCTAATGTGTGTGTGTGTGTGTGTGCGCGCGCGAGTGTCTGTGTGTGTTCGGAGGTGGGGGGGAAGAGTGTTGGAGATTTTTAAAAGTTGAGTGCGAATCAGTGTGAAACCCTTTCCAATGATCCGACCCCCCCCTTTTTTTAGGTGCGCGCGCGCGCGGGCACACACAGACACGCGCCCATCTAGTCTTTACGCTCCGCAAGCCAGGCACTCCACTCGCCACACTGGCGGTTAGACCGACCCTACCTTCCCAAAGGGACTCGCCTCACCTTTCTTACCGTCTGCGGTAGCAGGAAGGAAGGAGCGTTCGTTGTTGTGGTGGTTTGTGTGCGTGTGTCTGAAGCCAACAACAACAGTTTCTAGTAGCCTTAAAATAAAAGGGGGGGGGGAAGCTTATAAGAGCACCCCCTGACTTCACTAATAAACCAGGGCGCAGGGAAAAGAAGGGGGAGAGAGGCGCGTTTAGACAGGAGACGCTACTTCTTAGGGAGTCTGTTTCGAAAGCCCGTTTCGCTGGTTTGCAGCGCCTGCTTTTCCCACCCGAGTTCCCTAGCCCCTTCCCAACCCAACCTGGCCGGGGGGGGGGGGGATGATATGCGAGTTGCAAAACAGCGATTGCGTTTGGAACGGAAGAGAATTGTGTGTGCAGAGTTATATGCTTGCAATGAGGTGCAGCTGAGCTAGACGGCGACTGAGCAGTCACGAAGTTTTCCTCCCGAGAGGAAAAAGACGAAGCCTTGGCGTTGTCCTCGTTGTCTGTCTCTCCTGCGCCCCTCTCCCTGTAAGTGTCTGGACGGGGGGGGGGGGAGAGTGTTGCACGGTCTCCCCACCCCTCCCGCCGTCTCCCCACCACCAGCCCCGCGCCCCAGATGTTGTGGCTACTCATAAATCTCTAACCCTCACACCTCCAAACAGTAGTTAAGTGTCTGGCGCGCACATATTTCGCCCTCTCTGGGACTCGTCAAAAACAAATCAAAGTTTAATGCCCGGTTCAATACCCAAGTGTGAGTCTTTTCACTTGGGGGCGTCTGAAGTATTTGGAGTTGCAATGGAAGGTGGTGGCGGCGGTGGAGAGGAGGAGGAGGAGGAGGAAGAAGAAGAAGAAGAAGAAGAAGAAGAAGGGACTGGCGATGGGGAGGCGACGTAGGCGGTCCCTCTTCCCGAAGAATAAAATAATAAGCCATCCTCCTCTACGACGGGGGAGGCGGAGAGACGGGACGGACGCGATTGCAACAGGCCTAATGAACTTTTGCAGCGTTGCTAGTCTATTAAGCGCTGTCTGGCATTCTTCTCGGCTTCTTTCAAGAAGAGTTGGCGGACTCATTTATAATAACATTTTTTGGCACCGCTGAATGAAACTGAGTAGGCGATATTTCCTTTTATACCAAACGATTACTTAACGGGAAAAAAATGGGGAGTGTTGATTCAAAAATCCGCCTCTTTAAAAACAACAATAAAAAAAGCCCACCTCCTCCTAGCCTCGTCCAGTGCCCGGCCCTTACCAAGAGGGCAACAGACAGCAAAAAATGCAGGCAAACATTCTTGCTTACTGCCAGGTCACTGGGATTTGTACCGAAGTCCGGCCGATCCTTCTTCAGACTCCCCCCCTTTATCCCCCCCGTCTGCCCCTTCTTCCCCCCTCCATCCCCAAGTCTCTCTCTCTCTCTCACTCTGCCCCCCCACCAACCCCCCTTCCTACAACTGCAAATAACTCAGTGATAACAGATTTTTTTCCACCAACTGCAGGAGATAGTGCTAATCTTTTAATAAAAGATCCCATTACAATGGGATCTGTCTGGACAGACTATAATAGATCTAGAAATACAGCCGTGCTAATATTAGAAGACAGTTGTTTGGGTGCCTCAGACTGGGCCACGGTCCCGCCTTTGAAAAATGGGCATGAATCACAATACCACGCCGAGGCATATCCCCCCCTCCCCCCGTCACACCCATTCACAACCAGACTGGTAAATGACTGACCTCTTCCTTGCAATTTATATATATACATATTTGGGTGGTGCTGGTGGTGGTGGTGGGGAGTATAGTCATTATAATCTTTATTGCCGAGCTCCGGGGCATTTTGATAATTTCAGAAGCTTCTTTGCATCCTCCGCCGCGCGCCCCCTCCCCGTCTCACCCCGTCCCCCAAATCAGTTCAGCCGCGCTCTCCCTTTCCCCCCTTTCTCAATAGCACGCCTGATGCGGGGTTGATGAGCGCCCTCTTATGGCGGATGCCGTTATGCACGGACAGGAAGGAATAAAATAAGCCAGGCTTCTGCAGGAACCGTCGTTAAAAATGCGGGATTCCTGTCGAAAACAGGTAGCGGCAGAGTCAAGGATGGATCCCGGTGTTCCCGCACGGTTTTGACAAAGCCGGATATTTTATTTATTTATTCTGGCTTCCCTTAAAAACACGCGCGCACGTAGCGGGTGGTGTTTTCCCAGACACTGACTCTTTTGAAACTTTGCTCGTTTCCTTATGAATCAGGCTTGTAAATGTTGCCGCTGAAACGTCCTGCCTCTCCGATTTAGCCTTACGCCACCCCCCAAGGGAAGTCAACGTGGGGCCCTCCAGAGCTGAGGCTGGTGGGAATTGTAGTCTAGAACAGCTGGGGGGCACCTGGTTGGCTATCTCTGCCTTATGTTCTAAGGAAATATAGTGGTACCTCGGGTTACAGACGCTTCAGGTTACAGATGCTTCAGGTTACAGACTCCGCTAACCCAGAAATAGTACCTCGGGTTAAGAACTTCGCTTCAGGATGAGAACAGAAATCGTGTGGCGGCGGCACGCCGGCTGCAGGAGGCCCCATTAGCTAAAGTGGTATCTCAGGTTAAGAACAGTTTCATGTTAAGAACGGACCTCCAGAACGAATTAAGTTCTTAACCCGAGGTACCACTGTAATAAGCCATTGAGAAAGCCGGATAAGCTCGCTGGCTTTCCACCCTCTGCTCAAAGTCACAACGGATGAAGATGCAAAAGGGTCTCTTGTGACCTGAGGCTGATTACAGACCTCACTGCACCCCCTTTTGTTCCGCATATTTGGCTCAGAGCACTACACACACAGCACCCCAATAATGTATTGCAAGATCTGGGCAAAGTGAGCTGGTATTGTTATCCAGATGTTGTGGGTGGGATGTCCAGTGCCATGTTGACTTAAGGCCACTTTCAGCAAATTTGTGGCCAAGGAAATATTTGAACTGGGAAGTAGTCATACAGTTACTATACCAGTCAGTGTTTTTTTTTCTGGGGGTACTCAACGGTAAAAATTAAAGGACCCCTGGACTGTTAAGTCCAGTTAAAGGTGACTATGGGGTTGCAGCGCTCATCTTGCTTTCAGGTCAAGGGAGCCGGCGTTTGTCCACAGACAGCTTTCCGGGTCATGTGGCCAGGATGACTAAACCACTTCTGGCACAACGGGACACCATAACGGAAACCAGAGTGCACGGAAATGCTGTTTACCTTCCCATCACAGTGGTACCTATTTATCTACTTGCACTGGCATGCTTTCAAACTGCTAGGTTGGCAGGAGCTGGGACAAAGCAACAGGAGCTCACTCCACTGCGGGGATTCGAACCACTGACCTTCTGATAGACAAGCCCAAGAGGCTCAGTGGTTCAGACCACAGTGCCACCCGTGTCCCTACCACTACTCAATGGTACACTACTGCCTCTTTTCTAGAAGAAAAGCACTGGTTTAAAATGTGGCACTTACCATAACAACTTCATGGTGAGCACTGGCACCTTTTCCCTCCCTAGAAGAAAGCACTGTGTTTGATCCTAACAGACCCTCATCTTGCATAACCCTGTAGAACTCTATCTATGACACCCTTTGCAAATATGGTGCCCTCCCATAAACCCCAGACACCACAACATCTGGAAGGCACCTGGTTCCCAAGAAGAGAGGGCGTTGGACGGAAGTGATGGGAATACAGTTAACTTTTACTTGTGTATCTCCTGTTGGTGCTAAGTATGAAATGAAATGCATTTGGGGCCCAGGATCTCAGCTTTAATTCCATGTTGGATACTGGATAGATGATAGATAGATAGACAGATGATACCTGAAAGCCATTGCAATTTGTGTGCAAACATATATAAACTCGAAAGATAAAATTGCCATATTAAATGAAAAATTAGGCAGACTAAAACTCTGCATCATCATGGCCTTCATTTAAATGTCATCTGTTGGAAATTTTGTGGTTTTTGGTGTCACCAGCTTATCTTGGTCTGCAAGGAGAAAAGTAATGTAATGAGAATACGAGACATACGGTAATTGGTGGCAAACATAGCCAGGGACAGAACAGCAGAAAACTAGGCCAACAGGATGGAATAACAAAAAAATTTAAAATTAAAATTTACCTGCCTTCATTCTTTACAGCATTCTGGCAATTCGAGAAAAGATCACTCCCTCTCCCCAATTCACACATGTAGCAAAGCACTTGGTTACATCAGGTCAAGGACTGAGCCAGTGTGTGGGATCAGTGTGGATAAAAAGGAGGGTTGTTTGCTCTGGAGAATGGTTCACGTTCTCTCACTGAAGCTTCACCTTGATCATGCTTCACCTTGGCTTCATATTGATCCACTGGGCAAAATGTTTATCCCAATTCTAGAAAGTATTTGCTATTACAGGGGCAGCTTTAACAGCCCATATTCCTGGAAGCAAACCTCATAACAGGTCATAACGGTCCCATATGCGCCTCAGATGTGCATCATCGGCAGATCAATATGATTGCCCTGGTATGGAGACTTGAATCACACCTGTTTTCTGACATCGCGTAGAGACAGCTGCAGTTTCCTTTATTGTTTTGGCTTCTTCAAATGCTAGACATTTGGTTTTGCTCGCACCTAAATGTCGGGGAGCAGCATTGTTGGACCTGAAATCTTCCTTTCATATATCAGCATATTTTGACTGCCCTGCCTCCCTCCTCTTGCTTTGTCAACAACAAAATGTAACTTA